CAAAGAGAAAACAGCCAAAGCTCAAAGTGGGACACGGAGGCACTCTTGATGCCGAGGCGGAGGGCGTCCTTGTGATAGGTGTTGGCGGGGCGACAAAGCAACTGAGCCAGTTTTTAGCCTGTGACAAGAGCTACGAGGTGAGCCGAGGCGCTAATTAGGGTTCAAGCTGGCATTGATGCTCACTTTCATTTTTTTTTTATCGCATGGTCGTCTGGCCTTGCACCAGTTTGATGTTGAGCTAGGACGTCGCACCACGACATTGGACGTCGATGGTGAGGTCGAGGCCGAGGCCCCCTTTGAGCATGTGACAGCGGATATGCTGCAGGTGCGTGCAGGTCATGCTCAGCTCGCCACGCGAGCCTGATGTCCTTTCTGACTGTGGACAACGCCTGACACCTTGAACCCGAGTATGACGTGATATCATACATTCTCAGACGCCTTGGGCTGAAGCGCTGACTGGTACCTTGACTGCTGTGACTCTTCTAGGCGGCACTGAACGAGTTTGTTGGAGATATTATGCAAATTCCGCCCCGGTACAGTGCTTTACGCATTGATGGCAAACGACTCTCAGACCACGCACGTTCTGGCACGCCGGTTGATCCCCAGCCGCGTCCTGTTCGGGTCTTGGCTGCTCAGCTTCAAGCCTACGTGGCACCAGTCGCAACTATCGGTGCGTTCACACCTTCACTGTGCTGGGGCGGCTTTTGACCACGACAGGTTATTGTTCGACTCACAGGGTGCTATTTCGTCTGTGTTCTTGCATAAACTTTCAGCGGTGACCTGTGGGGGTGGTTTTTATGTGCGCAGTCTAGCCCGAGATTTGGCATGGAAGGTCCAGTCTGAAGGCCATGTCACGCGCCTGGTGCGCACGCGACAAGGTCGCTTCGACTTGAGCGCAGCTTTGCCGGTACGGACATGTGCCGGCCATGGCATCCAATGATTTGAACGACAAGCATCTAAGATCTTGTACCCGACCTCCCGCCGCTGTGCCATGCTCAGGAAGATGCTTGGACCCCAGCCCAGCTTGAGGCGGCTCTTGCTGCTAACAACAAAAGAGAGGAGCAACACCTTCGGGTTAACGGCTAGAACTGCTTTTGACATTCAACCGTAACATAAGTTATGCTTTCTAAGCGATTGCGCTGGTTTTGGCGGGAAAAAAAAGGTATCACCACACACTGCATTGAGGCCCATGCATGCACACCTCGAATATCCCATATGAATGGCATCCGCCACAGCATCGACCAGAGGGAGGACGTAAGCACAGTTGCATATGCTCGAGCCTGCACCGCCACCCGCAGTCGCTTTCTTCACCTGCCCCTCAACCCATCCCTTTGATCTGTTGTTGAATATCATGACATTGGTTGTTGTTTGCATGTGTGTGTGTGTGTGTTTTGGCGCGTAACACGTGAATTCGGCGCCTTTTTTTCTCTCTTACTTCTCTCTCTCTCTCTCTCTCTCTCTCTCTCTCTCTCTCTCTCTCAGTGGACTTGTTGCTGGCTGGCCCGGCCTTCTTCAGTCTTGTTGGCACGGCGGCTGATTGAGATTCAACACTGAGATCTCAACACTACGAGCCAAGGGCGTCGGCCACTGGCACAAGTGACACTGGGTGAGGCATTTGGTTTGGCACAGTATGGAATTTGAAACTCTCAGTCTCTGAGACTTCTCTCGTCTCCTGGTCTCGCTGTCCTCTGGTCTCACCGTGTGCGTCCGCGCCTTCAACAGCAGACCACTGAATGACAGCATTTGTTGATTGCGCGCGCTGAGATACACGCTCAGCCTCCCTTGCCACTATGTCTGAGGAACACCCGGCCAGTGTATGCCATCAGTACCACCTCTTGGACAAGATTGGCGAGGGCACCTACGGTGCCGTCTTCAAAGCCCGTGTCAAGGAAGTGGAGACAAATCACAGCCTCCTAGAGAATGGTGAGCACTGCGCCAACTCCACTCACCTTTTCCTTGTATCTCCTCAATGACCCCCGGCTTGTCGCTTGTGCTGCGGTCGCAGGCATCAACTTTGTTGCAATCAAGCGCATTCGAGCGTCGGTATGATTGATGCTCATGCCCCTCTGACGCACCTTGCCCCCTTGAAAAACGCTGCGTGCGCTCATCTGACCTGACCACTCTTGCTCATCCACCCCATTGACCACTCCCACTCATCCACCCCAACGTAGCCACAAGACGAAGGTGTCGCCGTGTATGTCTTGGTCGTGCCTTGCCAGCATCCTGCACAATTGGCCGCGGGCCCAGTCTGCGACAGCAGCAATGGTTGTAAGCCGCCCCTGACCTCCCAATGCACCATTCTCATTCCAACCCCTTGCGCATTTTGCTTTTACCAGTGTCACCATTCGAGAAATTAGCATCCTGAACAAGCTGCAACATGATAACATTGTCTGGTACGCCGACGCCCCTTCCCCCGACCTCTGCCCCGAGCTGCTGCCAGCTACCCACTCATGCTTGTGTTCAACACTGAGGTCAGCTTGCACCAGCTGATCGATGCTGGAGACATGATGTACCTGGTCTTTGAATTTTTTGAGCGCGATCTCTCCACCTACTTTCAACAAATTGCACCCAACAGAATGGACCGTGACCTTGCACACGTACGTGCTTGCACCCCTCTACCCCTCCCTCGCCCTGCCTATCAACCTGGCACCCCCCTGGCGCCCCCCCCTTTCTAGCTGCACAATCATGGGCCCACTCGTGGCTTCAAGCCTCATGCCACGTTACCCCACTTCTGCCATGCCATTGTGTTCCACACCCACACAGAGCTACCTGCATCAGCTTTTCGACGGTCTTGCATATTGCCACGCCCGACTGATCATCCATCGTGACATCAAGCCTCAGGTATGTCCCGAATTTGCCCCCTTTTGACCAACCGAGATTTCTCCGCTTGAACTGATGGCCCGTGATTATACGTACCCTCTGCGTGCAGAATCTGCTGATCGACGAACTCGGGCACATCAAAATTGCGGATTTTGGTCTTGCACGCCGTGTCAACCTGCCCAGTCGACCCTACACGCCAAATGTACGCTCAAAGCTTTCTGAACAGTCTTCAATGTACCCTGAACAGCATCCAAGCCGTTGATTCGCCTTTTTCCAATACTATCTGGTGCTAAATCTAACCCGAGCGTTCCCTGGCCCCACACACAGACACAAACGCTCTGGTATCGTGCCCCTGAGCTCCTATTGCATTCACATACATACGGGGCCGCCGTCGACCTCTGGAGCATGGGCTGCCTGATGGCTGAGATGCTCACTGGCAACTCAATCTTTATGGGACGCGATGAGATTGACATGATCACCCGCATCTTCCGGTCAGCTTTTGTTGCCGCTCGTTTTCATCGCGGTTGATTGTGCGACTGACGCATTGACGCCTGCCTGGCTCTCACCTTGTCTCATCCGGTGCTCCTTCAGACTCCTTGGTATGCCTACTGAAGATGAATGGGCGCGTGCTGCTCTTCCCTCTGGCTTTCGTGGATTCAACGCTCCACGGCGCACAATGGCTGGCATCTTTCCAGCCCTATCGCCTGAAGACGTGGAACTTCTGAACGTCAGTGCGCTTCCCCCCATGTTTCGCCCATACCTGACTGTGCGACTGCCCAGGATATCGTGATGGTTGTGCTTGCTTCTGGGAGTGTGAAAAAAGAAGAAGCTCATTTGCCTGGTGTTGTTTTTCTAGCAACTGCTCACGTACAAGCCCGAGCATCGTATTGATGCCTATAGCGCCTCGATGAGCCCGCTGTTTGAGCGTTTCCGGTGTTAGCCTACTCGGGTGATGTCACCCTGCTACCAAACAATTTGCATGTCACTTTAGTGTAATCGCGTTTGGGTGCCGTGCCGTCCAGCCGTGTTGTCCTGCCGCGTTGTCCCGCTGTCATACTGCCACATTTGGCTTGCTTCAGGATACCTCTGTCCTGCCACTTTCATCTCGAGTCGAGCGCGTTGCATCGCTTGTTTTATGTCGACATTGTGTGTTCTTCGCCCCCTTCTTCACTCTCTCTTTTACTCTCCCTCTCCTCTCGCTCTCGTATGGGCTTTGCCGCGCGCCTTCTGGCATTACTCGTAGCCCTGCGCTCCTGGTCACTTTTCCTTCTCTCTCTCTCTCTCTCTCCCTCTCTCTCTCTCTCTCTCTCTCTCTCTCTCTCTCTCTCTCTCTCTCTCTCTCTCTCTCTCTCTCTCTCTCTCTCTCTCTCTCTCTCTCTCTCTCTCTCTCTCTCTCTCTCTCTCTCTCTCTCTCTCTGTGGGAGACAGAAACTTCTGATGGGATCGCTTGCGCCTCCCACCTCTCAGCGAATTTGCTGCCTTGGCAGCCGAGTCATCTTTCAATCGATTCCTGCTTATCAATACCCTGTTGGGCAGTGGCATGAGCCTCAGATTGGCAAACTTAAGACGGCGCTTTGTCATCGATACGACGTGAGATCGAGGTGTTACAACCCGTATTTCGCGCGCAACCCTGCTAGCCCTGCTTGCACCCGAACATCGTTCGCCTCGCGCTTTGCCTGCCGTTGCACCTTGCGGGCTTGGCGCTGCCGTTTAGCAGCAGCAAACGTTTCTTGCATAGATGCCTCTTCCTCACGTATCAACCGTTCAATCTGAATACCCAGGTCAACCCCGTCCACACACACACACACACACACACACACACACACACACACACACACACACACACACACACACACACACACACACACACACACACACACACACACACATGAGGTCACTCAGAGCGTAGGCCCCCAAAGGACCCTTTGTGCCAACCCAAATGTCAACTCTGCTTGCGGTGGTCCACAGCGATAGGCAAACCCAAGCAAGTCCACACAGACCTCGCGCAGAGACATGCCGATATAGGTCTTGCTCTTGGGTCTCGGACCCGGCGGAGCTGTACATGCGCGTGTATGTGAGGAGAGTAATTACTACATCGACTCGGGCAAGCGATGCTTCGCCGCCCGCTTGCATTCAAAACGAAAACATACCTCGACTTTTGACACCTCCATTGGTGTCGGTGGAGTCCTTCGTGGCACTTTTGCGCTCGAGGGGAACTCGGGACTGCAGTCGGGCAAAGGCTGCCGAGAGTCGCTGGAAAGCCGCATTGGCTCCAGCATCAGTACACTTGTCTGGATGCACCAGCCGACACAACCTGTGTGTGATGTGTGGCAGCAGCTTGACTGAGACAACTGTACATGGCTAGCTCTGACCAGTGGCCATGCCCGGTGCCATGCCCTGTGCTCGACAGATAGATGGTGCGGCCAACAAACCCGAGAAACTTTTTCCGAAGGGTGAGCACGTCGGGTGGTTGTCGCAAAGCAAACACCTCCAAGTCATCCCGTGCAGCACAAATGTGCTGCACGGCCATTTGTTGCTGCTCCTGCGTCATGGTTCTGCTCACCCCGTCTGCTCATCCTACACCATCATCCTGCTGCACTGACACGACGGCTCTCCACAGTCGCTGCGGCAAACGCGCCTCTTCCATAAAAAAGGCACTCAATCAACCACCACTGCCCCACAACAGCAAAGTGCATCCGCCCATCGATCACGAGCAACTGAACCGACGATCAGCCCCCTAAAAAAAAAAAAGAGAGAGACAGAGAGTTTGAGAGAGAGAGAGAGAGAGAGAGAGAGAGAGAGAGAGAGAGAGAGAGAGTTTGAGAGAGAAGAGAGAGAGAGAGAGAGAGAGAGAGAGAGAGAGAGAGAGAGAGAGAGAGAGAGAGAGAGAGAGAGAGAGAGAGAGAGAGAGTTTGAGAGAGAGACGAAATAAAATTTTATTTTTTATTTTTCGATTTTGTTTCGAGGAGCAGCGGTAACAGCAAGTGGCGGTGGGGGGTGCTGGTGCGTGAGTTTGAGTGGCAAATGTGGTGCAGGAGGGGACGGGTAAATCAGCTTCAAGTGCAAGGCAGAGCTGAGGCTTCAGACTGCCATAATCGCCTCGCTTACCGTTGAATCGCGGCTTGTAACAGAGCGCCCCTGCCTTCTTTTGTGGACACCTGCATCATGAGTGTGCGCGATAGCAGCGCTGCCGCTTCACCGGCCCTAGCTGTGGTGAGCCCTCCCGGCTGATCCCCATGCGCTCGTCCGTTTATGTGCGCAGCATCAGGTTCTCACCTGCTCACTCTACCCCTTGGCTCAGCGAAACTCCAGTGCATCTTCCGTGGCCCGCACCCTCAGTACGTGCTGGCTCTTCGCTTTCGTGCCGTACCCTCTTCCTCTTGATCAGTCGTGTTTATATCTACGCATATCAACCCTCGATGCTCTGACCTGGCCCATGTTCCTGCCAATCTTTTCCGAAAACAGGCCTTCGCAAGTCCCTCAACTCCTCTGTCACCTCAAACGACCTGGATGAGCCTTATGAGCAGCTTGCTGCAGATTCCAAATCCGCTGTCATCATCCTCGGCAGCATCAACGTTGACATTATCGCTGAAGTGCAACAGCTGCCCACCGTACGCTCTCCTGGCTCTCTCGCCTCTCCCGTCCTTCCTTCTCACCTGACCTTCAACGTTTGAGCTCGATTGATGTCGTTCATGATCTGATATCGCACCCCCTGGTGTGTGTCTGAGGAACGCTCGCCTCACAAAGCTTGATCACCTCGTTTAGTTGAATACCAGTGTCCCAGCCAATGACAGTCGGATCGAGCCCGGCGGCAAGGGTCTCAATGAAGCCGTGGCCTCGGCTCGCTTGGGCGTCCATACCTTTTTTGTGGGTCGCATGGGTAATGATGAGCTCCGCCCTGTGGTATACACCGCCATCCAAGCCTGTGGTGGATTCTTGAAGAGCTGTATCACTGAGGTGTGTCACTCAACTTTATACGCCATCAAAGCCAAAGGCGTTGCTCAATTCAATCCTTGGACGACTGATTTTTCCATTAGATGGGAGCCGACGAAGAAGGCGACGAAGCTGGTCATTACGATACCGGCAATGCTTTGATCATCAACTGCAAGGTAGTCTGCCGGCGTCTTGGCGTGCACGCTGTCATGCGCAATTTTATTCACTTTCAGTACTCTCCCGACGCGCATCGTTGTCTTGCTGGGTGGCAGGGCGGCCGAGGGGGCACAGCAGGCACCGAGGGCAAATATACCTGTTCCTACGCCGGAGTCAACCACAAGATGACCATGGACAAAGAGTTTGCTGGACTCAAAGCTGAGTTGGAGCGCTGTAAAGCTCAAGACAAGAACATTGTTTTTCTAACACAGCTCGAGGCCATGGCTCCGAGCGCTAGTGTCTCCCCCGAAGCCAACGTTGTACTTCAGGTTTGTGATCCCAAAGTATCCTCTAGCTTGATAGCCTCCTGTTTTTGCTTTCTTTTCAGGCCAGGTCTTGCACGTCCCATACACACACTGCAGCGCTGAGCTTGGTCTGGACCCTCCTTGGGCCGCTTTTGTCTAGGCCTGTCGCTTGGCACGCGAGATGGACATTCCCGTCTATGTGAAATATGCTCCCTACCGTGATGATGGCATCTGCTTGCTCGAGTATGCTGATACCGTCATTCTGAACGAATACGAGCTCATGAGGATGCGCAACGAACTTTGCAACCCACCAGAGTACGTAGATCGAGAACCAAAGACCCACACGCGTGCCCGTCGCCTCGCCCGCGGGCTTTTTGTTACTCTTCAATGATTCACCATGTCTACCGATCCGTAGCGAGTCCAAGTCGAACCCAGTGACCAACCTTGTGCGAGCTTTTGAATATGCTTGCGCAATTGCGGTACGCAAACACATGCAGCATGTGCACTCTTGTGGAAAAGGCCGAACATGTTCTCCCTGCCCCTGTCTTCGCTCATCGCCTATTTTTTTTTTTTTTTTTTTTATATACTTTTTTTACTTTTTTTACTTTTTTTTTTCTTCCTTTTTCTTCCTTTTTCTCTTCTTCTGTCTTCTTTCTCAATAACCAACCGTCAAATACATCTAACGTACATGCTATGGTGACCGGGAGCAGAATCAGTCGCCACAACTTCGCCGCATCGTGTTTGTTTCCGGCTTTGGCACCATGAGTGTGGAGTTTGACTCGCTCAGCAATGGCACGACTCAAGCTTCAAGTTCTTCCCGATCGGTCGTGGATCTGCAAGTCGTACCCTCTTTCAAGTCACGTCGTTTTGGTGGTGTTGTTGGCGCTGCCGATGCTCTGACTGGTGGGCTTGTGGCTGGCATGGCTGCCGGTCTCAGCATGGTACAAAGCATCATTCAGGGCAATGTGTGCGCCGCGATTTGTATCGAGGTTTGTCCATACGCGTGGCGATTAAAAAGTGCTCACACGCACATCCGCGATCACCCACTCACGCCAGCAACCTTCCTCGTTGACAGGATGCAGCAGCGCAGGCCGCCATGCCAAATAAGGAAGAAGTTCAATCCTTCTTGCATGATACCAGCACACAACTGGATCTTGACATCAACGATGACTTTCCGCTCGGTCCCAGCGATGACCTGAGGCTCAAAACTTTGGATATCTCTTGGGCAAAGGCAGTGCTATCAAACCAACAAGTGACGCACCTCGAACCAGCGCCTTGCAATTATCAACATCTGTCAGATCTGCACTTGAGTGTTTTCGCCGGTGCTTGGACCCGAGCCCGCTCCATCGTCCGAGCCTACGCCAGCCTTGACCATGAGTCGCTCTTGCAGCAGCTCAAGCAAAAGGATCGATATGGACGGACTGTGCTATCTTACGCACGCAATGCAAAAGATTCCGAAGCCGCTGAAATTGCCGATGCTCTGTGCTTTCTCCGACTACTCTATGAGCACGCCGACTCATCTGAACTAAAGGATTTGGCCGAGTTTAAGCATTTGACCGGGCGGATTTTTAGTGCGTTGAATGGCCTTGAAGTTGTCTTTCGAATGTCTGAGCTGTCTACTAGGGATGAGTATTATTGACTGAAAAGTTGGCTCACGTTTGGGTCTGGGAAACCTCGGCTGAAATGATCGTAGGTTCGCAGAATCCCAAAAAGTCTCCTTTGGCCACAGCAGATGCCCCCAATGCTTTTGCCAACTCGGTTGCAGAGTCTAAAACCCCTTTGGTTCAAGTTTTAGTGGCTTACTGCTTCCATTACTTTCAAATGCGGAGCGAGCCTGGCACCCTCGACTTGGGGCGTTTTACATGTGACGTCATTGACACTGCTCTCTGTCATCCCGATGCCGAGGAAAATGCCCCGCATTTTTGCGAGATTCTCTCTGGCACCGATCGAGAGGTACCCCGTGCTTTCTGTCAGCAGATATCGGAGGATTACCGCCATGTTCGCGTCTTGATCTGACCCACCCACCCCCGCCTGACTTGCTCAGGACCATTTCCTGTTTGGTGCCACCCAAGGAGCCTGTCACAATATCATTGCCAACTGGAATGGCTGGTGTGGCCGAGATTGGGGCGCTCACTTACCATCGGCTAGCGACAAGGAACTCGGGCGCGGGTCGCGGTAAGTACATGCAACTAACTGTACATGTTTGTTCGCCTCACGCTGGCAGCGCTTGGCCATGCTCTTTTGAGAAACAGAGCTGTCTCTCAACGCTCGGTTGTTTGCATAGCAACATCTTGCACGCCGCCGTGTTGGCCCCTTGGCAGGAGCCAGATCAAGCCGTGTCCATCATTGTCGATGCCCTTCGAGGCACAACTGCCCTTCACCAAGACAGGCACCCTGTGTCCTCCCCCGACAATGCAGCTGACTCTCAATGGACGCCACAACAACAAAAAATTGTTCTATCCATTTCTCAGCTTCTGGGAAGCACTAGCAAGGATGCTGACAGCAAAACGCCTGGTAGGACTTTCTGTGCAACAGATGATGTCGGTCATGACCTGTTTGCTCAAGCTACTGATTGCTGCAAATCAATCGCGACCTGGAGGTGGTATTCTTCTTTCTTTCTTTCTTGTAACTTTCTGGTCTCATGTCTCCTGTTGCCATTTGACTGCACTTTGACTGGCGTAGAACAACTGAGTGCAAGCACGAGCAAAGGTGCAAAAGTCATTGAAAAACTACGCAAAGCAGGTTTGTGGGGACGAATCCTTGGAGCCTTGAGCTCATCGCAATCAACGGCAGAGTCTGGAGGGCTGACTGGCTCACTGTCACCGGCGGTGTGTCACAGCACGACTCAAAGACGTCTTCATCAGCTACAAGCACGAGTGTCACGACGACACAGTGAACGCGTATGTCATGCAGCGGAAATGCCTTGATGTCAATTCAAAATGTTCTATCCGGCTCTCATAGTCCGAGGTCTCTCATAGGTCTCTCCGTCAGTTGGATAAGCTTGGCGTGAGCTTCTTTGTGGACCGCGAAATTCAGGGGTTTGTGAATTGCGACGCCACTTGCTGCGCTGTGTGTGCACTATACGGGGCCGGGTTTGGCCAAACTGAGCAAACATAACCTGCTTTTCCTCCATTTGTATAGAAGCGAGGACTGGCGCAAAGTTGTAACCTCACAGATTTCGTATTGCCACATCTTTGTGGTACTTTTCTCGACGGGCTGGTCCAAATCCCAGTACTGTCGTGCGGAAGCTGAAAATGCTCGTAGCAAAAAGTTTATGGTGTTTGTTTTAGACCCCGTGAACGAGCCTGTTGATGATGAGACACGCCTAATTTTGCCGGTATGGCCAGCGCCATGCCCACATACCCCGTCATGCATGGTGCCTATCAGCAAGTCCTCCCGAGGTAACCTTGTGCCTCATCATATGCATGTCGCATTTAGTCCGAGTATCAGGATTTTTCTTTTTCAGAGCAAAACAATGATGGTGGTGCTGCCAGCATTGAAGCGTTTTGCAAAGAGGTGGGTTTTTCTGAATTGGAGTGCATATCAAAAGTTTGAACGCTGACTATGAACACCGTGGTACCTGATTGGCTTATGATAGGTGCTGACGGCCAGTCGTGATGTCCACCCCTCTGCCATTGCTGCTAGCAGGGCAAGCAATGTGGTAAGACGCTCATTTGCACACGCGTTCAGAAAGCATGTCGAAAACCGCGCATCAGGTTGATCTAGCATCTGTTCTCGTACCTCGTGCTCCAAATTGATAGGATCCCTTATTCGCCGAAAGCAAGATGCATCGGCGTGATGTTGTTGTCTTTTGCAATCCGGAAGACGTCGAGAATGTGATCATGCCTTTTGATGCATTTCTCCGGACCAAGGCCTCGCATCTCCGGAACCGCTTGTGTTTCCGTCGAGTGTACGTCGTTTGTTCGTTCGTCCAGCAATATCTATCCGCACATACATCCTTCTCCACTCCCGGCATATCCTCTCAAGACATCCATCTCCAATCCAATACTTGCAGGTTTGACTCTATGCCAGAAGGCGACGTGCAGTCATATGAATTTGCTGTCTGGTTTGTCAACGATAATGCCAGGTGAGAAAAGGTGACGGGGGTTTTTTTTTTCTTGTTTTTTGTTTTTTATTTGTTTGGTTTTTCTTTTGAAAAGCATTTGCCCCTCATCAGCACTTCCTTTGTAGCAAACTAGCAGAGTTGACCAAGAAACTCAACATTCAGCACTATGGCATCGTCAACATTGACAAGAATAGTTCAAACAACAAATCGCTGGAATTTGTGACCAACACCGACCAGGTTCGCTTTGCTCACTTGCTTTTTTTTTTGGGGGGGGTGATGTGTGTGTGTGTGTGTGTGTGTGTGTGTGTGTGTGTGTGTGTGTGTGTGTGTGTGTGTGTGTGTGTGTGTGTGTGTGTGTGTGTGTGTGTGAAGTCAGCTGTTTCGTGTTGATGGCGAAGTGGTCGAAGTTTTCAAAAATACGCTGATTTTTGCACATCTGTCTGCGTAGCCCGACTTTTTCCTCAACTATAATCAAGCTTGTTTTCAAGACCTTCAATTCCGCCAGTACGTGCGCAAAAAAGACCTTGCCCGCTGTCTTGCGCTACCAGATCAGCATGCTCCCATTGCATGTACTTTTTTTACCGACGGATCAAATGAAACGGCTAAGATCTTGGTAGAAACAATCATTTTCCGCCTTCTGTTTTCGATCTGGGTAATCATCTTAGGCTGGTCAAATTCCTTGAGAGCTGTATAACACCTGATGCAAGTCAACTCGCTTCTCGGCAATCTTCCAGTGACACTGCACCCGGCACGGACTCTGACATCAATGCAGCTGCGGATGCTTCCACACCCTAAAAACTGAGGCCGCGCCTGTGTCGCCGCAAACACAGTCATTAAAAAAACAGATTCACTACGATATGTGCTACATAACATCTTTTGTTCATTTGATTGTTATTTTTGAGACCACCTTATGCAGCATATTCCTTGACCAGTTGACCAGCAATGACAAGGCGCTGGATCTCGGAAGTACCCTCGTAGATCTCAGTGATGCGTGCGTCGCGGTAATGACGCTCAGCCGGCATCTCAGTCACGTAGCCCATGCCTGTATCGAGTCAGAATCAAACACAGGGTATCACCACCACATCGGATGAGAGCTCAAATACGGCTTTGGCCCAAGTGTAGAAGCGAGCGAGCACATACCACCAAGGATCTGAATGGCTTGATGCGATACAAACGTAGCAGCCTCGGATGCCGCCAACTTGCCCATGGCCGCCTCCTTGATAAAGGGCTTGCCCTGTGTCGCAACCCATTCACAATTGAGGCGCACTTGTGCTATGCATGGGCTGTAAAAGGAAGCATTCCGCCTTCCTCACCTCGTCCTTCAGGGCAGCTGCACGCCACGTAAGTAAGCGAGCTGACTCAAGGCGCGTGGCCATGTCAGCCAGCTTCATGCTGATTGCCTGATGAGACACAAGAGGCACGCCCATGCTCTTGCGCTCCTGCGTGACGCAGGATGGTTGAGCCGTGAGAGGAGATACGACGCAGCAAGATCATACTTGCGTCCCGGTGTGCTTTGCCAACGGTTATGGTCCGGTTTACCTGGCCATACGCCACTGCGCAATCGAGCGCGGCTTGCGCAATGCCCAAAGCCTGCGCCGCAATGCCGATACGTCCACCGTCCAGAGTGCCTGATGGGGTGTTGGTGTGGCGGTGAGGGCGCTACCTTCATTTTGGGCGCTGATATTATCCTGCAAGAGCATGGACGTACTCATGGCGATTTTAAAGCCCATGCCTTCCTCGCCCAGAATGTTTGCCGCAGGAATGGCGCAGTCCTCAAAAATGAGGTTGCAGGTGCCCGAAGCACGAATGCCAAGCTACAAAGGTTTATCCAAAATGGACCACCAAACACCGGTTAGAAAGATACTGTAAAACGCAGGACACACGCGATAGCGACCCGACCTTGTCTTCCTTCTTGCCACAAGACAGGCCAGGTGTCTTCTTGTCGACGATAAAAGCACTGATACCCTATTGGAAATCGTTTGTGAGATTGCAATCAGGCCACCTGCGGGGCGTGCGGACAAGGCGAGACAGCGGCGTTGATCGGGCTGGGCTACTGTGTGACGTTATCACCTTGTGCTTGAGTTCCTTGTTGGTGGTTGCAAACACCACGACAGCGTCAGACTCGGGACCTGGTGTTGAGAGGCAAGAAAGCGTGTGAAGAGATGGATACTCTTAGCTCTGGCCCATGGCGTCGTGAAAGATCAATTTCCACGCAGTGAGAGTCGCAGTTGAGGATGGCCCACGGCACGTACCGTTGGTGATCCAAGCCTTGGTACCGTTGAGAATCCTGCAATAAGCCAGCACCAAGCATATGAGATCATATTGCCATAGGGCATTCACGTCTGCATGCACACGCACCATTGGTCACCCTCACGACGAGCAGTGGTTGAGGCAGCGCCAGCATCGCTGCCGTTTCCGGGCTCGCTCAGGGCGAAGCAGCCAAGCTTCTCCGAGCAAAAGGGTGTCAGAAACTCCGCCTTTTGCTCTTCCGTGCCGTGCTTGCGTACGGGGCTGCCGTAGAGAGACTGCCACGAGCGCAAGAGTCGGTTTAGCGAAGATCAGCACCGCCTCACATCTGGTAAGGTGACCCAAACGTGGGACTACGACAAACGCCTGCGAGCTGGCTGCCTCACCCGACTGACCTTTCTAGCGTCTCCCCCCTTGAATCTCTTTTCCTTCGCGCATCCCTCCCTACTCTTCCTCCTGATACAATACGCCTTTGCACACTCACGTTGTTGACCGACATAATGACACCGGCCGAGGCACAGCCTCGAGACACCTCTTCGAGGGCAATTGCATAGGCCAGGCTATCCAGTCCAGCGCCGCCGTACTCTTCCGGCGTCTCGATGCCCATGAGACCAAGATCATACATCGAGCGCACCTGTCAGAGCAAGCCACTGAAGTCAGCGTAATGGCGGCACCTGCCACCCCAGCTTGATATGATGTTGGCAAAACGTACGGCATCAGCAGGGAAGGTGTGATTGCGATCCCACTCGGCTGCATTTGGGGCCAGTACATTGTCGGCAAAGTCACGGCACGTTTGACGCATCATCTCGTGGGTCTCTGAGAGTCCGCTCAAGCTAACGATGCCAACCCGATCAGTGAGTATAACTTAAGCTTGGGTACAGACCTAGAAGCCATGCTGTGCGTACCCGACGAGGCTGCGGCTCTGCAGGAGCTGACGTGCCGCCAACAGCGGCTGCACGCGTTGGGCAAAGGCAGTACGAAGGGCCATGGCTGGAGGTGGAATGCTACGGGGGCAACACTGTGGACACAGCGATCAGGTCGCCAAATGCAAGGGGTAACATAGGGGGCACGTGAGAGCAGGTGACGAATCCCAGCTGCTGCTAATTTGTGCGTTTCATCGCTCCAGAAGATAACAGAATTGGGCCATGACAAGGAGGTGATCCCTGGTCGCCGCGAAGGCAAGATTTGGGCGGAAGTGGGGGGAAGGGGGGCAAGGGGGGCTGAGCGGTCCCTGCTCAGTGTCGGGGTTTGCGCTGGCAGTTGCCAGCAGCGATGTGTTCCGCCCAATCACGCCTTACATCCGTGTTGGCTGCTCCCAGACAATCACACCAAGATGGCCGTGACTTTTGTCCTGTCTCATGTGCATGCTTGAACCCCCGTGCCCAGCACTGTGCCGTTGGCGAGCAGGCTATAGAGCGCTGCCATTTGCATATGTCACACACCTCGACGACGGGAAAGAAGAAAATACATCAACACACACACACACACACACACACACACATGAGGCTGCAATATACAGTTGACGAATGCAGTGAAGAGTGTGTTCGTGTTGAGACGAATTTTGGCATGATTTTGGCAGAATAAAAAATAATTTCAGGGACGTACGCCTGTCGAGCTGTGAGAATTGGCTGCGCATCATGCGTCCAATCATATGGGATGAGATACCAGGGGCAATGGGAAGTAAAGCACCTCGTTTACAAGTTGCTGGCAGGCGTCAACAATGATACATTTGAACGTTCACAACAACATGTGTATGTGAAGCGAGTACTATAAGCAGAAGCAAACAAGTCAACAACATTCACACCGTTGACACGATTGCAAATGGCTCTGTAAGCCAGAGCCTACCATGGACTACAGCCGGATGTCTTTCTCATCATCAAAACGCTGCCCAGCCAAGAGCCAGCCATAGAAAAACCTCACGTCAATTATCAGTCGTTCAGAAGATACGGAGCCCGGCAGCGCCAAGCATAACACGCTATATCGGTATGCGGCCACGCACATCAGGGTACACGCGCGCAAGGTGCCACGGTCGGCACACATAGTACGCTATTATTCACAACAGACCTCGACCCCAACCATAGGGTCCCTACTTATCACGGTTGAGGTCAAAGGGGTTGTCATTGATCGTATCATGAATCTCAAGGAACAGCGGGATATATGCCAAAAAGTCCAGAAAATCTGCCTCCGTGCGTCCACCCTCGCCAAATTTATCCAACACGAGACGTTCGTGAATCTCAGAGATACGGCCAGCACGCAACTCATGGCTCAGGTCGTCGAGCGACACACTGCCAGCCCGGCGCTCGTCCAACAAATAAAACAGCTCCTTGCACTTTTCAATCTTCACCGCCAACGCCTCTACATCCAGGGCGTTAATCAAACCTGCACAAACGCAGCGCAAATGCGTCAGGGGGCCAAAGCAAGGCAGGACACATGGACATAGAAAGCAGCACGAGGAGGCGCGTGCAAGAGCTGCACGAACAGACCTTTGACCATTCGATCGAGGCTGGCGACCCGCTGAGAGAGCGCTGCAATGACCGAGAAGTAGCTGCACACGGAGATCAAGCAGCCAACGTCTGAGCACGACGCATGCACACCAAGCCGCCATACCCACGACAAGCGAGCCAAACACCTGGGTTGATGGTCTTTGGGAAAAGGCAGGACAAGCACACAGCAAAGCCAGGGCCGTACCGGAAGTTAATGCTGCGCCCCTTGCCCAGGTCTAGCACGGTATGTACATAGGTCACTTCGCCATCCGTTATCAGTTCTCTGTTGATGGTTTTGAGACCCAGATCGAGCTCCAGCACTCCAATGGTGTCGTCCTCACGCACAGCAAGGCTCTCAAAAACCGATCTGCATGCACAAGACCAAGCAAAGAGGCAAGTTATGGTCTGTGGCGGCAATGCATGACCAACGGAAGAAGGACATTTCTGAATGGTCAGGAGTACCGATATGCAGCTTCTTGTCCTGGTTGCAGAATGCAGTACTTGGCAAGATAGTCAAGCGCATCGATGCCATGAATGGCGTCAATGCCATCGATGCCAGCAACTGTGACGGGGGCCACCATCACATCTGTACCAGACGACACGAGCACGACAGACCATTAGTGGCTGCACCTAGCCGCCGACAATTTAAAAAAAAAAAAAAAAAAAAAAAAAAAAAAAAAATCATGTACCTGGATGCACAAAGCTGGGGTCTGCATCTGCCTCCATGGCCACATGTTCAGGCATCACACTGTGCGAAAAGAAATAGGGAAAAGAGCAAGCCGACGTCCGAAAGCGCGCATTTTTGACGCAAACCATGCAGACACGGCCAAACCGAAGCAGACGGTGTCAGAACGCGCCATAGACCTCTTCGTCTCCAGCGAAAGACGGGCCTATCACCAACTCCCCAAACTGAACAGCACCAACCTGAGTCGCCGGCGAGCAGCAGTGGCACCATGGCTTGGATCATGGTCTGATTCTATCCCTGCCTGACTAGCACCGCTGGTGTCTTCCTCTTCCGGCAAAGGTTCAGTAGAAGTGGCGGGCTTGATACGATGCACACCGTGCTTTCGGCGCAATGCCAGGTCTCGCGACTAGACATTACCAGCACAACAACCACCAGTGAGCCATGAAACACGTGCGGGTCAATACAAATATTGTGACAAGCGAGGGTCAAATAGTTGTGGTACAAAACATTACGCTCAAAACGTGCAAACTTCAGGAACGTGATGCCATAAACACGCACCTCTTCCTCAGAGAGCTCTGTGCCATCAGCCAAAACCATGCGTCCCGTTGGCGTGATGTGGGTACCATCGGCCAGCACACGAGTGCCATCCGCCAGCGTCTCCCGGACCTTTGGAAATCGCGAAATTCGTGAGTGACCGCCACAAGACTGCGTCTTATAAAAAAAAAAAAAACATCTTTCGAGCTCGCCAGCGAGCATGTGACGTCTGTATCCGTGTTGCTTGCGCAGCCGTAGGACATGAATGGCCGTACCTCCTGGTCAAACTGCCATTCCAAAGGGCGACGCTGTCGGCGACCACGCCCTGTCGAGCCAAACCTTTCGACATGGCTCGAGTCATCAAGCTCGCTTGTGGCCGACGGGGGCACGGGGGCAAAAGCAACAGTATCATCAGTGATGGCACTACCCGTGGTGTCGAGGTTTAAGGCATCAGGTCCGTCCTCGTCTGCCAGCGAAAAAACGCGAAGAATTGAGCGAAGGAAGCCTGAGCCAGTAGAAGGCAAGGAAAGTCGTACCAGGCGAAGTAGACTCTGGTCCTAGGACGGGCATGGTGAGTACCACACTGGGCCTGGGGAAAGATCAAGAGCGATAAAACACAATATTTTTACATGCGCGCGACTGTGAGCTAGCTGTGTGCATGTACTCGGAATTTGCATGTCCAACTGGCGTCGAATGCAACATACGGTTCCGATGCCGTTGATCGAGGTTCAGGCTCAGGCTCCGAGCTGTCGGTGGGATCAGTGTCTGGAGGTACCTAGTACAGGTAGCGTCAAGTGCGTGGGCACGACAGCTGCTGAGCTACACGTCATTGCGTAGGAGGGATGGCAGCAGAACTCCAGCAAAGGTATTTAAAGAAAGACAAAAGGTCGAACCTCATCAGCTGCGGTAAGAACACCAAAGAGATCGTCGCTGTCGTCCGGGGCAGGAGGAGCAACTACCGTGCCGTCACGAAACAAGCGCGAGCCATCCGGCAGCAGGGTGCTGCCATCCACCAGCCGCAGCGTGCCATTGGCGGCAGCCTGACACACAAGAACAGTGAGCGGCGGGGCGACAATAAGCAAGGCGGTGCCTGGAGCGACTGTCGCGCGGGTACAACTCATCAGTCTGGGAGCAACGGTAGCACCAGCAACCCACCTCAACCACGTTGAGTCCTCGGGGTACAAACGAGTTTTTAGTCAAGCGTTTTCGAAGCTCTCGGTCGGTGTACAGTGCATTCCTAGGGACATACAAGTGATAGGCGTGGCCCAGATCATGTGACCCCATCGCGCAAGGTATGGGGCATCTTTTCGGCCGGTGGGAAACATGTAAGCCAAGCGATGGGTTACGACGACACGCACATCTCATTCGAGAGGATGAGGTAGCCACCGCCGACGCGGATCACGCGACAGTTGGACACGCGCTGTCCGGTAAGTCGATAAACCTAGGGATAGAGCAAGAGTGGGGGGTACGAGTTGAGTTTGTGCAGGGGCTTCGGGTGGGTCACACGAATGCAGGCACATAACATGGGGCCTCTGCTAGCTCAAGCTCGAGCACAGATTGGCATGTGAGCAATCCTACCCGTTCTTTAGGCACGCGCGGCGCGTCACGCCAGATGCCACGATCGTGCAAGGTAGCACGGTGATGGAAGGAGAAGAAGGACGGTTCGTTGCTCTGCCAGCTGGCTCCTAACGGCTTGTTGTCTACGGTGCAGTCCGATCGTGCGTGAGATGCGGTAGGGGGTGCATGCACATGGCAGCAGCGTGAAAGTGATTGCCTACATACCCGGAAGGACGCCCAGTGACAGGCGGCGCAATTTTGATGGTAGCTAAATATTTAGGTGCCATGAGCAACCGATAAGTACGACAGTCCAGTCACATGCGTCCAGCAGTGCAAGTCAGGTGCAAGGGTTCCTTTACAGGTGAGTTGCATGCAAAGGCCAGGCCCGAGTAGCGTACTGAGTGGTTGGTGAGGGGTTCAAGCGACGAGCGGCGGCTGTTCCTTCGATGGCGGTGTGCAGCGGGACTTTGAAAGCTCTTTGGCGAGGGGCTGGGCACGGCATTGCCATCGCTGTAGGAAACGGAGGTTTGACGGCTCACGCTGTCGAGGCTGCGCCGGCCACGGAGGTCCAGAGGCGGAAGCCCCCGAGCTCGACTTGGAATGGGCCCAAGACTGGACCGATCCCTATTTTTTGGATCAGGCGAGCCAAGGGCAGCCGGAGGTGGAGGGGTGCCACCAACAGGGGGCAGGCGGCGTAGATCGGGAGGAAAGCTCTGGCGCAATGCTTGTCGGCTGGTGTCGCTGTCACGGTGGTGGGCGCCATGCGATGTCAGGCGCGCCGGCGGTGTGCTGGTCAACGATTCCACCATGTCAAGCGATACGGTCGTGTACATCCCTTCCACCAGCCTTTCCGTACACTTGATTGCCCGATGCTGTGGTGTGCCGGCCGAACTTTACGAACACAGCCGAGCGTAGAGGCGCCCAAGCAAGGTTCGATACGCTTTGCTGGTGCTGCTCCGAACAACTGGGTCCACCAGCAATCAAAAGCCTTCAACCCAGATCTTGCTCCACCTTTGGTTCAATCGGACACCTGGCAGACGGGCTCATCAGCCCATATCAAACGAGCAGCACGTCACGACGGCACAAGGCACGACCCGAGCCGCAGCTGATCGGGCACTTTGCCCCACCGAGCTGTGCCGTCCAAGTGCTTCTTCTTCTCTAATCAAACCCAGCGAACGGTCCCCGCAACAAGTACATCATTTACATCACAAACACAGTAGCTATTACTGTATAATTCAGCTTATTGATCGATGCTGATCTGCAATTACTCCTCTAAACGCTACGATAATCGCAAAACAAAACACGCACTTCCCCGTTGTCAACAAGCGAGCCCCCTTGCCTGTTTGCAAAACTAAATCTGACATTACAAAAATGATGACAAAGAGGCGATAAATGTCTGACAAACACAGAGATGGTAATTTTGTATAGGTGGACGGGGTATTTTTGATGTGTTACCTGATACAAAATTTCTGGATCTGCCTTTTGACCGGAGAGCACTCACACACTCACACACTCACTCACACACACACACGCATTCAAGATGGCAGCCATCAAGACGTTTGGCAGCGCGCTGCGGGAGGTGCGCTTCTTCATGTGCCAGAACAGTGGTGCGAGCGCCGGTGCGCGGTACGTGATGGCGTTTGCTTTTTTGTTGGCTGTTCACCTTGCCAGCTTTTGTTTCCTCCGCTGCTTTGGAGAAAGAAGTTTAGCAAGCTTCTTTCTGAGCCGGGCCAGCACATCCCCAGCGCTTCTGCCATCAAGACAACCTCATCGGTGACCGGGGTGCATGACATGCGTAGTGAATTCGTCACAAAGTATTACAAGCAAGTCAAGACGGCCAACCCCACACTTCCCCTCTTAATACGCGAGAGCTCAAGCACCCCAGCCACCATTTACGCTCGCTACGGTGCGTGCAGGCCCAGCTCACTCAGCATGACTTTTGCCATTGACCATCGTCAGTTGAGCTTAGACAAGGCTCCATCCATCTCATCCCTTCGTCCTTCCTTGTTGATGGGCAATGCTACTGTAGGTATGGGCCGTGAGACCTCGATTTCGGTTGATGGCAAGACTGCCGATGAGATTAGGGACATCCTCAGCCAGCTCGGCGAGGCCCAATAAATGTGGGCAAACCCAAGCTTGTGACCACCAGGCCTCGCTCCTTTAGCTGCTTGAGCCCTCCTTCTTCCCCACTTGCTCTCTCTTGCTCTCTCTTGCCTTCCTCTTGCCCTTTGCATCACCTTGTGGGTAGCGCAGCGCGCCACGCGAAGGACGCTGGACGTGGTAATGGCGACGATGAGCTTCTCGTCACCGGCGACTCTGGTTGCGCCCTCTCCTCTTCTCCTTCCCTCGCCCCCGTCTCGGGCACGCCCTCATGGCCAAGTCCTATCCTGTTTGCCACTTGGTTTTTTTTAACAATTTCACTGATTTTTTTAACGTGTATATTGCTCTTTTTGAATATCTTTTTGAATTTGTTCTGTCACACCCACACCTTGACGTTTGATGGTGCTGGGGGGGAGGACAGACTCGCAAAAAAGCTGGGGGGAACCTGGGTGCTGGCCCGAAATATATGGGAATAACCTTGGAGTCTCGGTAGTCTTCTCCGCTCGATTGAATGGGACAGGTGTCAGGACGTCTTCACACTCGCAGCGGCAGGACAGACCTCGAACACCATTCTCTGCACAGCAGAGCACACATGTTGCCAGTTGCCCAGCGCAATAAACACTGGTGGTGGACACATACCTACACAAACCTACACACACCACCATAGTTCACCATGCACATATTACCGTTTGCCTCACCTCGACGAGGGTTGATCAGAGGATGATGAGCTCCACAATCTCAAGCCTCAGTCTTCTGCTTGCGCATCAGATCGTCAAGAATGGCCGAGGTGATTGACCAATTACGGGAGGCACTCGAGTAAGTGCGCACTCGCTCGTTGCCAAGGGCCTCATCTGATGCGTAAACTTGCGTGCGCAACTGGGTTTGCTGTCGCTCGTGGCGCCGGTGAGCCTTATACGTGCCATGTGTCAAGCCTGGCGACTCGCCCGTGTCACGTCGCTCCGATATCAGCCGCTCGCGATTGCGCAGAATGGATTCGAAGAGTTGCCCGCCAACAACATCATTCAGGTACGGGTTATGTCGGCGCGTTGTCTCGGGTTTGGGCTGGCTAGCGGCCACCGTCTCGGTAGAAACGCCTTCCATCAGGCGGGCAGGCGGTGCAGGCAACTGCTGTGTCAACATATGCTCGTAAGGGGAATCGTCCTCCTCCTCATCATCATCGTCATCGGTGTCGTGGTCATCAGCTCGTGGTGCGGCGGCCAACATAGCGGCGGAGCGTGGAGGCAATGCAGGGGCGACTTCCTTCTCGGGTTTGAGTACATCCGACATCTCGTTTGGCTTATTCACACGAGATACGTATGGAGCTGGGGGGCGCGGTGTGCGCTCCTCCTCTCCGAGCACGGTCGACGCCTCTGACATGGCGCGCTCATATTGGTGTCCCAGCTTATAATCATCAACGTGGGACAGCACCGGCCCAGCCAGCGGCGGCGCATCTTTGGCCCGCTCGTACTCACTGGTCGTCGAGGTGCGCGACCATGAATATACATCCTGTTGGTCAGCATCCACCTCGACATCAAAATCCACGTCCATGTACACCGGGCGATCCGCAGCCGACTCGTAGCTACTCGCGTCGTCGTCGTCGTCATTAGCGTCACCAGCATCGCTACCATCACCGGAGGTGGGTGCAGGTCGACCAACCGTGTTGCTCGATTCGGTTACAGTCGTGGCGTTGGCTGATGTGAGATCGAGATGATCCCAGCCTGCCAATGCGCCCGCATCGTCCTCATCCGAGCTCTCGCTGTCAGACTGAGGCAAGGGCGCGTCGCGCATGAGCGATGATTCGCGCGTCAGCGTGTTTGGCTCGGGGTCTGTGCTAGAGCTCGGGTACAGATCGTTGATCGCACCCGAACTGACAGTCAGCTCCACATAATCCGAGGGCAGCCCATGGTTGGCCACCACTTCTAGGCCACCCTCGCCGTCCAGGCGCTCCAACACCTCGCCGTATTGCTGGCCGTCGGTTTCAACAAACGTTCCGCGTCGGCGTACGACGCGGGTCGCTCGGCGTCCATAGTCCTCCTGGCCCCCGACGCGGCTCGCCGGTTCGCTTCCGCTGCCATTGCCACTGGACTCCAATAGGATGCTGTTATCATACTCTGGAGGTGTGGGTTCGCGCGCGCGCCGAGCATTGAGCACGAGGCGCTTGGCTGCAGTGGGATTGCGCAGCAGCTTGGTGCCCTTGCTGGCAATGGTCATGGTTGCAAATTCATGGAGCAAGACCGCAAACGAAGGCCGCTGGGCGGGATTAAACTCCCAGCAACGTTGCATGATGCGGTAGATATCTTCCACGCACAACGGCGGCCGCTGTAGGCGAAAACCACTCTTGAGTTGTTGAAACACTTCAGCCCCATTGCGCGCGTTGCTATAAGGTCGCTCCTTGGCGAGCGTGCTGCATTCCCAGAGCAATACGGCAAAGGCCCACACATCACTCGCGCTAGTAAATGTCTGCGTTTGGAACACCTCGGGCGCCAAAGAGCGGAAAGGCAGGGTTTCATTGCTGCTCAGGTAGCCCGATTCAGTACTCATGGCTCGTGCCAAGCCAAAATCAGCCAGCTTTAGTTCTCGAAGCCCCTGCTCTGAGACCAAAACTATATCCGTGACAATGCCAACGATCGTAGTGAGCTCTGACAACAAAGAAAAAAAAAGGCAGGCAAGAGGTGGGGGCCCGACAGAAGACGTACTGTTGCGCGCAGCTAGGTCGCGGTGAATGATGCTCCGCTGCTCCAAAAAGGCCATGGCCGAGCCAATCTGCCGAGCGATGGAGAGGATGGTCATGCTATCTACCTCCTCCTTGGGTGTCACTGAGTCACAGGCAGCTAAGTACGACTTGAGGTCGCCGTTGGCCATAAATTCGACAACGAGCTGGTAGGGACGCTCTAGCATGCACGTGCCCACCAGCGCCACCAGGTGCGGATGCAAGAGCGACATCATCATTTGAGCCTCCAGCATGAGCGTGTTGTCTTCTTGCAACGTCTTGGATTCCTTTACCGCCACCTTGAGCCGACGTCTCAAGTTTTGGTGGTACACCTGCTTGTTATGGTAGGAGATCATCTGGGTAGGGGTGGCAGCTGCCAGGCTGAGTGCCACCTCGTCGTCCTCCTTCTCGGTGCCTGGGGGCCGCAGCACGCCCTCACACACCATTCCAAAGCGCCCCTCTCCCAATTTGGAGCCCAGCTGGAGTCGCTCCCGCTCAATCTCATATTCCTCGGCTTGCCGCGATTGGCTGACATAATTGTACTGTGAAAGGAATGTGCTATAGGTTTGCATAGTTGTGGCACTCTTGATGGCATCACGCACGCGGGCCAGCAGCGATTGCTGAGTGGCATCTCCACTGGTCAGCGCTGCGGGCCCGCGGCTTCCATCGTCCATCCACTTGGCATCGACATCGTCCAGGTGCTCCGGCTGGTTCATGTCGGCCTCTGTGTCACCCACTTGCCACGGCGCGGCCTCAAAAGCCGGGGCCTCGTCTGAGCTTGACTCCATGATGCTGTTACGGCTTGCCACACCGTCGACCGTTACCACCACTGCCTCGTCCACGCCCAAAAAGCCGCGGCCCGATGAGCTAAGGGCGTGCCAGGCGCGCTCTTGTGCCTCCAACTGCAAGGCGCTGAGTTTGTCGGGGGTGAGTTGAAACTGGAATGCCTCAAACAAGAGGGCATCAACGTCATCCGCGGCGGCGGCGATAATGGCCATATGCAGCTGCGAAGACATGGCACTAGAATTGCGAGAAAAAGTGCCTCGATGCTTGCGAACGCGCGCACCGCCTCGCCGCTGAGACCGCTTGCGCAAGGCCGCATCGCCCCATCGACGCAGCATGGCCAAACCAAATCGAAACAGGGCCTCACGACCATACACCAGAAACAGATCCATGACGGCTTGCAGCGTGACCAAAGGCAGGTAGTTGGCAAACCAATCACCCGCAACGCCACGCAAAGGGTGCTCCGTGTAATCAGATGACTTGCCAAACCCAGTGGAGGAGCAAAGCTTGCTCCGCGCCATAGGGAGAATTTCCGTGGCCAGGGCATCAAAAGTGAAGACCATTTGCCATGTTTGGGCTCGGGTGAGGGCCAAGTCTGAGTGGTTTTGCACCAACTGCGCGCACAGCGCGTAACATTCGGCCTCGGACATGCACGTAAGGGCTACCGCGGCCAGGACCGGCAAAAGCGGGCTATAGAGGCGATCTGTCGTTCAGACGAACAGAAAAGCTCGATGAGTCAACAGGACGGTGGTTGTGGGTATGCCTGCTGATAGGGTGGATCAAGAAATGGGGAGAAGCAAAGACCAGCCGGGGGACCAACGCTCTCAAAAGGGATGCGGCCCAACGTACGTGGAAATTGTTGTGCAACGCATGCCAACACGCGGTGATATGCCATGGTCTGGTCTGTCGTCAGGTTGTAGTGGGTCAAGTCGTGCCACATGCCGAAGTGGGGTGCACGGGCATTGCCAATGTGATGTGCGCTGTCACCACCTGTTCACATATAACAGATGAGCAGAAGATAGCCCCAAAGAAAAAGGATCTTGCCTCGAGCCCAGAATGGAGCCCAGAGAACATGAAACTCACCAAATCGTTGGGAAAGCGCCCGAGTGTACAGTTCCGAGTCCCGTTGAAGCAAATCAAAGGCACCCGTCAAACGCAGCCATACCACACCTGTATGCAGTTCAGATAAGTCCGCAGCGAGCAATCAGTGCAATAGCTAGGGCGGCCAGATAGACTGAAATCAAGGGATCCAAGAGGTGTGCGTGTGTGCGTGTGTGGGTCGGTGCCAAGTCAAGTACCGCGTAGCTCATCAGGAATGCCGTGCTGTACGTTGCTCTTCAGAAGGGTCTTGGTAGCCGCAGGCATCGTCTCAAAGCACGCACGGTCCGAGGGTGGCTCAACCACGTTGCTGCCATTGGAAGGAGGTGGGACAAGCAAGTTAAGCTGTTGTGAGGTAAAAGTCGTGAAAATCAGAACCACCCCCAAGAAAGAACAATCAAACAACACAAAACGAGTGACGAACCGAATCCAGAAGCGTATCGAGTTCTGACGGAGTTCATCAATGGCTGTTGGGGCTGACTCCTCTTCACTCAAGTCGACAGAGGAACGGAACAGATTAATCACGTTCTTCTCTCGCAGCTCTCGCAGCTCACGCTGCGCGAGGGCCACGAGGCTTTGGCCTGGCAAATCTGCTTCGGCCTTGAGCACGTCCAAGGGCGTGCCTTCGCAGTCCAACTAAATGAATGGAAAAGTTCAGAACGCACACGCAGATTCACACCAAAGCAAAGAGAAAACGACCATGAGTCCAGAGAAACTACGAGCCATGAAATGACAGTGGCAATGGGCGAATGGCCGAGGCAGCATGCACAAACCTGAGCCAGCTTGGGGGTGGAGATGGCGACGACGCGTAGATTCGGACAATCGCCAATGTTGATTTTGATCAGCTCAGGGGCTCGTAGAGCCACCAGCTGTAGAGCACTGCACCCGCGCAGGTCTAGCAAGCGCAGACTGGGGAAGGTATCCAAGCCGGGGGTTTTGACCTCAAAGGCGGTGGGACGTGTCAGGCCCGCGAGAATCAGGTCGCGGAGGAGTTGACAACGCGTGCCAAGAGCTTTGAGCAGGCGCGGAGTGAGTTGGATGGCATTGCAGCCAGTCAGATCCAGTCTGATTAACGACCCAAGGTGGAACAGGCGAGGAATATCACCATCACTGAGATCGCAGCAGTGCTTTATACTGAGGTGGCGCACTTGGCGCTTGGCCAGCTCACCCAGCACGGCCTTGCGCTGACTGCGATCGCGCAAGAGGCGAAAGTCAAAATTGGCAAACAGTTGTTCAACTTCGGTCACCGCCAAGAGGCTCTTGACCACGCGCACCTCTTCAGTGAGCATGCAGCGCTGCTGGCCTATCGTTTGCAGATTCAAGATTTCCCGCCCAAGAGAGTCGCAGTTCTCGCTGCACTGTAGCGGTGAGTTCTCGGTCAGCGTCAGGACAGTTGAGGAGATGAATTGCGGCTCAAAAACGTTATGGAGGGCCACAAAGGCATCCCAAGGCACCCGAGTGGTGTATCCCGACTGGTCCGTCGACTTTTCGAAGGCATCGCCATCTGCCAGATCGAAGCGTTGCAGGATGGAGAGATCGTGCTCGTGAAGCACTTGTTGATAATGTTGCCCCAGCTGGGGCTCCGTGGCCATGAGGAGGTCCAGGTGCGTGGCTTCGTCGCCCAAAACTTGTAGTGTGTACTGAATCCAGCGCAGTTTCTGGATGACCTCGAGGGCAAGGCTGGGGCGCATGGGAACAGCTGGAATAGTGGGCCGCTTTGGATGGTCCATCAGTTCGTCAATGCCCCGCTCGAAGTAGGCCTGTGCATTGACGGCGATGTTAACGCTCTTGCGCAACCACATGAGTACGAATTGGGGCACATCCAGCTGCAGAAGCTGCAATCGAACTTCGGGGTGAACCCGAGCGGCCATTTGCGGGAGACAAAAGAGCACATTTTTCGGTCGGCAGGCTGAGAGAGCGGGATGCTTTTTGAGGTGACGTTGCATGTCACTGGAGAGCTCGGTAGGGCAGAAGCACCGCTCGTTGTCAATGCATACGAGTCGGTACAGTCCGTTTTCGACCTGCTCAACGATGTACTGGTCTGGTTTGCCATCCTCGAGCAGGAGAAGCATGGCGTTGATAAAGGCCATGCTCAGATAACGCTCATCAAGCAGCTGCAAGCGCAGAGCATCGTCCAGTAAGACCTGGTGCAGGTTGTCGCCCCGGATACGTTGACTGATCAGCTGAGGGACTTCACCATTAACCATGAACAAGTTGGCAAAGGGTGCAAGCCATTCGCCAAAGAGGCGACGTGAAAACTCGCCGGCCACCATCTCAAGGCACGGAAATTCAGGCCGGTCTTTGAAGGCGAGGGCCAGATCAATCTGTCCATCACTGGCGGCGATGCTCACACGGCGGCGGCCGTACAGGTGCGACTCTCGGCGCGGGCCACCCTGGTACGTCAGGTGCTCTACCCACTCGGGCACGTGGCGCTCCTCACGGTCAATGGCAATGAGCTTGAGGGAGCTTGTTTCGGACTGGCGATTGGCGAGGCGCGTGGGCAAGAGATGGCTGAGGGCGGCTTCCCAATTCAAACGGCGGTTGCGATCAGCAAGCGTGTGGATGGCCTTCAGCAGGGCTGGGTTGAAGCTGGCACTGTTTCTTTCCAGCTGAAGAAGAGCGTTTTTGAGCATGTCCGTTTTCCGGCCGCCACAGGCGCCTGCACCAACTAGCACGACAAAAATGTCCTTGTTCATTTCAAAAGCAAGATCGACGGGTGTTTCGAAGCGACTGTTGGCTCCATCAATGTCCGCGCCCAGATCAAGGAGGTAATTGATTTGCTGTATGACAAGGTGTATGTCGTCACTTGCACTGCGCTTCAACAGCTGATGCAGGGGTGTTTGGCCATTATCCGACCAGGCGTTGACAAAGTCGCGAAACATCCACAACACTCGGGGCCCGATGACGTGCTCCGCGGTGGCAGCTTGCAGGATGGCGTGAAACAGGTTTGCATCGTTCCAATACGACGGCAGGGTATGCAGTGTCATTTCAGAAAAGTGTTCGCTGAGCAGCTCGGTCATGAAAAGCTTTTGAATGTTCGTGTAAGGGGCCAAAGGGTGGCGCTCACGCGCGTCCAGACAGAGGGCAAACAAGAGCTCCCCAACCGCAGCTACGGTGGTCATGTTGCACAGACAGGTGAGAGCGTCTGGCTTGAGGAGAGGCTGAGTGGTAGTGGCCCGTGGTATGAAATGCTCAGCTCGGAGGTCATGGGCCAAAGCGTTTTGGCTGCTCTGGTGTGCCAAGGTAGTGGGCAGCTCTCCTTGAGCCGCTGCAGCGTCCTGGTGACCTCGGCAGATGGTTTGCCACACCTGTCAACCGGTTTAAGGAAACGAGGAGCAAGAGCGGGGGTGTGAGGTTGTGAAGCTTTGAAAATTGATAATGCTAATACACATCAGGGAGACGACAAGGTCAACCAAAATTTATAGAAAAAAAAAAAAAAAAGTGGCCGGCGCCATCGGTGAAAGCATTCAAGATGTCTTGGAGGCATCTAGGCAAGCTACAAACCTGGTTGGGGCTCATGGAGTCATGTAGCTGTTCAACCATTCGCATAGCCGTGGGCGCTGCCTGGCGATAGAGATCGCCAATGGTAAGTGGCCCTTCGCGGCGACAGGTAGCGGCCAGGGTTTCAGCTGTGCGGTAGAGGCGAATGATGGTGCCTTGACGAATCGCATCGTAGCCCATGTCACTGGCC